AGGGAAAATCATGACTCATATTTGCACAGAAAACAGAAAAACACGTCATGACTTTCCCAATGACCTAGTTAAGTCCACAGAAAGTGTTTTATAAGAAAGAAAAAAAATAGGACCAGCAGCTGGCGTAATGGCTATGTCACTGAACTCTCATGTAGTTGACTGTCGTTCAAGTCCTGGACCCGGTGGCTTAAACTCATGCCAGGTGTGTGTGCGTACATGTCCAAGATCCTGAGAGGAGAATGGAGAAGGGACTGCAGCATGACCATCCCCCGTGGGGGGATGATTTCTCACTTTCTGTCTCTATGTCTCACTCTGTCTGGCGAGCGCACATGCCCTATAGTGAAAACCTCTTCGAAAAAAAAGAAAAGAAAAAGAAAAAGTATGATGTGATTTAAATGAACTGAATTAAACATTTCTGCTGTACCTTCAAATCCCTACCTAGTACAGAAGCTCACTGGCAGTTGCCTGAAACCAGACTCAAGCTGAAATATCGATTTCATAAAGATCGAGCACAAACGCTGCTGACATGCTCTCCTCGCTTGGTAACGGTAATGCACGGGAAGGCGCGAGGGCAGCACGTACCGCTGTTGCCGCAGTCGGCACAGGAGATGAGCTCCTCTGGCTTCTTCTCTCGGTTTTGTTCTTTTGTACCAAGGCAGAAGCTACAGATGGGGATGGGCTCAGCAACCGGCTGTAAAGAAAGACAAGGTTATTCCAGTACTAGGTTTTTTAGTATGACTATTAAGACATTAAAATTACAGCTTTAAATTCCTATAACAGTTGCATATAACTCTGAGACAATGCTATCACTCTCCTAAAATTATATAGGTGAGTTTTGAATAAATCCTGCTTGGGCTGGGCCTTTACAACTCATCCTTGTGGTGGCCATTTAGAAACTTTATCCCCCGGAAAAAATCCTAATCATGTCTGCCACTTAGAAACTAAATGACACCGGGTGGATTGAACTAGGTAAATCCTTCCCCTAAGACTGAATTTAATGCAAGAAGACATGGCAACAGCCCTGAAGAGGCATGTGATCCAGCAGAAGAGTAAAGGTATACAGGTAAGCAGAATATAAGGCAGAAGCCAGTAAGTGCTTAAGTGAAATCAGGTAAGTATCTGTGAGCAGCGGGAGGAATTCCAGTCGTGGTTTGGAGGAGGGAAAGGATTGAAAGGGGAAGACAACAAGTACCAGGGGTCTTCAAAAAGTTCACAGAAAAAGCGTTTTATGAAAAAAAACGAGGTATGAATTGTGGTATTTTTGCACTAAAATAAACTTTAATTCCATTTTCCACACACTTACCAAAGCCCTCTTGTATTAAACGCCAGTGCTATCTTACAAGAGTTTAAGAAACACATCCAAGGACCATAGGTGGTGTTAGAAGCAGGGTTAAATCTAGGTACCTAAGACAGGTAGTGTAAACAGAATGAACTCAGGGGTGCAGTCTGCTATGGTCTACACTTAAAGTATTGTGTGTGTGGTTTATATGATATGTAGGAAAAAGAAACAAAAACAAATACAAAAACAAAAAGAAGAAACCAGACCCATTCCTGAAGACTGTACTGAATGCCTTATAAAGAAGCTGGACATCCAGGCACCTGGACGGTGGCAAAGTAGTAAAACAACGCTCTGTGGGGCTAACCCATATGAGAAGGTTCTGGGTTCATGCCCAGGCCTCCCTGAGTATGCTGAACACATATGTGCCTAACGATCCACGGCTAGCTGGGGCAGGGGTGGATCAACATCCGGAGCCTAACAGGTGCCTTTCTAGTTTTCTGTCTGTCTCTTTCACTCATAAAAGAAATAAATAACTTAAAAAAAAAAAAAAACCACTTAGACTTTCAAGTTCATTAAAATGCATACATTAAATATTTGCAATTTTTGTATAACAGTTATACCTAAATAAGCTTAACAAATTTAAATTTCTAACAAGAAAAAAAAAAAGAAGTTAAACTTTATCCTGCAGGCAAGACAGAAATAGATGGTGAACCAAGAGATAACCACTTGTATTTAAGAAAACAAATTCCAGTAGCGATATCATAGACAAATGGGAGAAACCCAAAGATAGGTAAAGCATTCAACAGTGATGGCAAGTCTGGTGAGGATGAGAACCAGAACCGAAGCTAAGGAAATGGAATTGAAGAAAGAGCACCGGACTTAGAAAACAACTAGTTGTGGGAATAATAGAAAATGAGTTAAATATGACGAAGGTAACTGAAAAGATGGTGATGGTATCGACTATGAAAGGTAAGTCATTTTTAAGGAGAAGATTCAGAAGAAAGCAGAGATGATAAATTTCATCCTAAGTGGTTTGTTGCAGGTACTTTCGGTCAACTCTCAACTCTTTACGCTAGACATTATACAGCAGTGATGGAAGGTTCCTGAGATGTTTTCAGTCTTCTGTGGTGAACGGATAAAGTACACTACAATATTTGTAGGTACCATGATAGAACTATAACAAAGGACAACAGAGGAAAAAATGATCAAGAGGGGAGAGTAGTGTCAAGGAAATGCTTCACAGAAACACCATTTGACTTGGGCTCTTCCAGAAATATTTGACAGGCAGGGCCACCAGATGAAGGTAATTAAAAAGGTAGAAAATACAGAACCCAGTTTGGGAGGGGGAGATGTGCTTAGTTTGGGACTTGTTGAGCTTAAAATCCTATAGAACATCCCTGTATCACTGCCCATGGATGTCAGAATAGAGGGATCTTTAAGAGAGAGCTTGGGCTGGACACACAAATCAAGAAGTCATGAACATACAAAAGGGCAGTAAAGCCATGAGAGCTCATGAGTTTTCCCATGAAGAACAGGTGGAAGGGAACCAGCAGTTAGCACAATGGCTATGTCGCTGGACTCCCATGTAGTCAACCGCGGTTCACGTGTCAGATCCAGTGGCTTAGAACTCGCAACGGGCGCGTGTGCGTGCGTGCCCAAGATCCCAAGAGAATGGAGGAGAAGGGATTGCGGCGTGACCATCCCCCCTGGGGGGTGATTTCTCGCTTTCTGTCTCTATGTCTCTGACTGTCTGGCGAGCGCACACGCCCTATAGCGAAAGAACAGGTGGAAAGCAAAGAGCTAACGTCAGAACACCAATACTTAAGAGGCAGGTAGAAGAAAAGCCTAAGAAAGAAACAGATTAGTGAGAGTTGGGTGGGACAAGGGTACTGAGGTGCCAGCCCAAACAAGCTACTAGCTGTGCTCAGCTGATGGCGTCAAGGGGAGGTGCAGTTAAAATTCGTCTGAATCATTATGGCCACAGTAAAGACTACCACACTCTCTCCTTCAAAAGGAATATGATAAAAAGACTGGTGAAGAAAGTCAAGAAAGACCACCCAGGAGTGAAAACTGGAACTAAACCCTAAAAGAAGGCCTGGAAAGAAAGCAGAACCCAGGTCACGAGAGCTAAGGTTTGCACTGTACCTACAATGTACCACTGGAAGATTTTAAGCAGGGGAACAGCACAACCACAATTTAAACTTTGGAAAAGCCATTATATAAGCAGTTAATAACATCCGGAGCCTAACAGGTGCCTTTCTAGTTTTCTGTCTGTCTCTTTCACTCATAAAAGAAATAAATAACTTAAAAAAAAAAAAAAACCACTTAGACTTTCAAGTTCATTAAAATGCATACATTAAATATTTGCAATTTTTGTATAACAGTTATACCTAAATAAGCTTAACAAATTTAAATTTCTAACAAGAAAAAAAAAAAGAAGTTAAACTTTATCCTGCAGGCAAGACAGAAATAGATGGTGAACCAAGAGATAACCACTTGTATTTAAGAAAACAAATTCCAGTAGCGATATCATAGACAAATGGGAGAAACCCAAAGATAGGTAAAGCATTCAACAGTGATGGCAAGTCTGGTGAGGATGAGAACCAGAACCGAAGCTAAGGAAATGGAATTGAAGAAAGAGCACCGGACTTAGAAAACAACTAGTTGTGGGAATAATAGAAAATGAGTTAAATATGACGAAGGTAACTGAAAAGATGGTGATGGTATCGACTATGAAAGGTAAGTCATTTTTAAGGAGAAGATTCAGAAGAAAGCAGAGATGATAAATTTCATCCTAAGTGGTTTGTTGCAGGTACTTTCGGTCAACTCTCAACTCTTTACGCTAGACATTATACAGCAGTGATGGAAGGTTCCTGAGATGTTTTCAGTCTTCTGTGGTGAACGGATAAAGTACACTACAATATTTGTAGGTACCATGATAGAACTATAACAAAGGACAACAGAGGAAAAAATGATCAAGAGGGGAGAGTAGTGTCAAGGAAATGCTTCACAGAAACACCATTTGACTTGGGCTCTTCCAGAAATATTTGACAGGCAGGGCCACCAGATGAAGGTAATTAAAAAGGTAGAAAATACAGAACCCAGTTTGGGAGGGGGAGATGTGCTTAGTTTGGGACTTGTTGAGCTTAAAATCCTATAGAACATCCCTGTATCACTGCCCATGGATGTCAGAATAGAGGGATCTTTAAGAGAGAGCTTGGGCTGGACACACAAATCAAGAAGTCATGAACATACAAAAGGGCAGTAAAGCCATGAGAGCTCATGAGTTTTCCCATGAAGAACAGGTGGAAGGGAACCAGCAGTTAGCACAATGGCTATGTCGCTGGACTCCCATGTAGTCAACCGCGGTTCACGTGTCAGATCCAGTGGCTTAGAACTCGCAACGGGCGCGTGTGCGTGCGTGCCCAAGATCCCAAGAGAATGGAGGAGAAGGGATTGCGGCGTGACCATCCCCCCTGGGGGGTGATTTCTCGCTTTCTGTCTCTATGTCTCTGACTGTCTGGCGAGCGCACACGCCCTATAGCGAAAGAACAGGTGGAAAGCAAAGAGCTAACGTCAGAACACCAATACTTAAGAGGCAGGTAGAAGAAAAGCCTAAGAAAGAAACAGATTAGTGAGAGTTGGGTGGGACAAGGGTACTGAGGTGCCAGCCCAAACAAGCTACTAGCTGTGCTCAGCTGATGGCGTCAAGGGGAGGTGCAGTTAAAATTCGTCTGAATCATTATGGCCACAGTAAAGACTACCACACTCTCTCCTTCAAAAGGAATATGATAAAAAGACTGGTGAAGAAAGTCAAGAAAGACCACCCAGGAGTGAAAACTGGAACTAAACCCTAAAAGAAGGCCTGGAAAGAAAGCAGAACCCAGGTCACGAGAGCTAAGGTTTGCACTGTACCTACAATGTACCACTGGAAGATTTTAAGCAGGGGAACAGCACAACCACAATTTAAACTTTGGAAAAGCCATTATATAAGCAGTTAATAAAGGATGGGAAGTGATAGGCTCTATAATTGGGGCCATGAGTAATGAGAGCCGGTATAAAGACAGTGGCCAAAGGAATGAAGAAAAGTAGGTAAGTGAGGTATGTTTAAAGATTAGACAGAGGAACTGACAGCTGATTGATTTGGGTCAGGAAGCATGGTAGGGAAGATGGAAGACTACGAAGATACCATTAAGAAAATGAAAAGGCCAGCCACAAACTGTAAGACATTAACAAGACATTTAACCAACAAATGGCTTATGTTCAGACATACAAAGAACCCTCCCATTACAGTAGCAAAGACAAACCACTCAATAGGAAAAGATGCCGAGGACTTCCACTGGTACTTCCCAACAGACCTTCAAGAATGCTAAAATTAGGAAGACTGGGAACAGTAAGGGCTGATAAGAAAC